CACCTAACCGCATAATTAGCGTGATAAGGTCAAGCCACAACGCACAGATACTGTCAGCTTAGCATCTTACACACGTCTAAAAATGCGGGTCAAACATAAACTTTTAACTTACATAGGGTAAGTATTGTCCATTACATATCGCAATGATCCGGCCCAGGCGGAGCGTCTGCCAGAGGTATAAATAAGGGGGAAAACTAATCAGCGGGATGCACCCCAGCTGTGTGCACCGACAAACGAGTCGCCAATTACAGAAGGTGGAGGAGAGGCAGCGGCCGCCGAGCGGCCCTGACATTCATCAATGTGCAAAATCAAGTCAACTTCACCACAGCTCTAACTAAAGGCTCTATCACCCCAATGCTTTAGTCTAGATCTGGGTACTGCCAACAGATGATGATTTGCAGATCTAAGAGATCTAGTTGGGGTATAGACATGTAGGAGCTGCAAGGTTATGCAATACTTTAAAAACAATTATCAATTAATTTAAAATCAATCCTTTCCTGAACCGAAAGCCAATGAAGCATGAAGCAACAGCAGATAGATCCATACTAGGAAGGTCAATCTGAGAATTAATCAAAACAATATCATTTACAGCATCAAGTTAGACACAGTTTTTGAGACAAATTCAACAGCCTCCCCACTCTAGGTGTGATATCGCCACTATAGCTGCTGAATGTTTCTCGTCATAGAGTGCAGTGTACAGTATTTCTCATTTTCAACCATTTTAACAAAGATTCAAACTAAATGAGATCTTTTGAAAAGGATGAGTGAAATTTAAAAGTTTAATCTACAGTAGGTCAACCTCATTGGCATTGAATGTCCATGACCCTGTTGCTGGGTCACTATTTGTCCTTCCTTAGACATTGTTGGTAGGTACTGACCTCTACAGTCCAGAAACACCCACCAAGACCTGCAGTGTGGGAGATGCTCTGACCCAGTCATCAGCCATCACAGTTTGGCCCTTGTCACAGTCACTCCGATCTTTACACTTTACACATTTTTCCTGCTTCCATTTTTCCTAACTTCAAGAACTGAATGTTCACTTGCTGCCTAATGTACCCCACACGCTGACAGGTGCCATTGTAATGAGATAATCAGTGTTATTCACTTCACCTGTCAGTGGTCATAATGTTATGACTGATTGGTATATAATTGTTATGCAGTTATAATTAATAAGATGAAGTTGTCTAGTCAAGAGTTTTGAATATCTACAGTAATAGGAAAAGGAGTTTTTACTGTTGGTACATGTCAACATGAGATGAATGACCTGAAATTTGAGCTTGTGTTTCTGTCTTTCTGTTAAGATGAGCGGAAATCTTGCATACCGGACATTTGTCAGACACACATGCTCAGCGCTCCACTTGGCTCATCTGTACTTCTCCCATGCCACTTTACAAGCAACAAGGACAGCTGGGTGTCATGGGCCCATCCTGTAATTGACCTGGTCAATCTCACATCTAAAGGATTTATTAAGTTCCTAGACCCCAAAAGTGGCAGACTGAAGGTTTTTCCAAACCAAGCCTCAATGGGGAACTACACCATCAGAATCGATGAACTTGAGGTCTCTGACCTGGGGTGTTATCGCTGTGTGTGGAAAAATAACTGCCATCAAGTAGAGTTGGTTGCTGAAACATGTGAGTATATTTTTTTGTTAAAAGATTTTAAGGTAATGTTTTCGCAGTACTGAGCAGCAGCCTGTGCAGAGACATGTGGTCTCTTCTTTTCAGTGTTCACAAACCTTGTAGCCCAAATGCATGAGAGCAAACAAGTGAATGAGCTAGAGTTTCCTGTGACTATGTGTTTTGAAAACCACAACTTATCATGCAGATACACTGAGCAAAGATATATGGCTATGGATTTACATCTGTGCTGGCGTGGCTACTTTCTTCCTGTTGAGTGTTTGCCTAATCTCCTGTGAGTATCTGCCCAGTCTGACACCTTCAGTCTACATAATTGATAGAAGATAAGTGCGTAGTTTATTCATTCATTTGATGGTTGGATTTCTTAATTAAAAACTCTTGTTTTTATTTCAGTGTTCTGTAGGAACAGAAAACAGTACAATACAAACAATCCTGTACGTGCGGGAATTGAGGGTAAGCTTTAAAAGGTGTAATTTGTTTGCTTTCGTTCTGAGTTGTTTCCCCCTCTTAATCAGCATTTATACTACATTAAACTCCACTAGTCTAATCACCTGCTCAACAGGCTAATCATCAACAGTGTTCAGCAATAAAGCAAATATTACTATTAACTGTCTCTCAGTTCATTCAAGTGGCGCTATACAAGGTCCTACCACAGGCGCCAGTGCTCCACCTGAGGAAATAGGCAGTGCACCAGTACAACGAGTACAGCAGGGTGATCTATACACCACTTACTCAACTGTATACTATAGAATGCACCTACTGGAAAGTCAAAAATTAATTCTGTTTTGTGGTATTTTGTGTGTTGTTTTTTTTGACAGTCAATAACCAGCATCACCATCCACATGTGCTGCCTTTTCCTAGAGAGGCAAACACAAATAATCTTGTTTATGGTGCGTTCTCATATTTTTTCTTCTGCTGATTATTTCTTTTCATGTCATCTATTGATTCAGTGATTCTGTCCCACCTAAAACATCGCTAAAGTCTGTCAATATTTTTAAATGTATCTTTTGTATATATCAGAGAATGACGACCAAGTCCCAGCCAACTGGCAGGGTGACCCGGCCAGAAACCATAGTTGTCTCCCTGGAGTTCTGCCTGAGCTGGACAGGCCTCAAACCACTCCAAGCACCAGTGGGATTTATCCAAACTTAGACCAGTTTAACGGTGAAAGGTTGGAAAGTCAGACCAGAAGGAGCTTCCATAGAGGTGCTTAATAATCAACAGAATTAATCCATCTTGTGTTTGGAATGACTCTTTTAATCAGACTGGAATAATTGCATTATCCTTCACCTCTCCAGAATTCTTCAACAGATTACGACAAGCAAGTCGACGCTATTATGGTAATATAAGCATCTTTTATTATATCACACAATTTCAATGCTGTCAGGAATTTCACCTAATCGTTTTGTTATACAGCCAACCAAAGTGAAATCAACAGGCAGCAAGCTCTGTCAGCTCAGGCTGAGCATCATCGCAGAGGTATTTATCTAATTTGGTTTGCCTTGTATCAGATATTAGAATCATTTCTCAGCAAAAATTATTCATTAGTCACTGAAATGTTTTGTTTTGCATCAGGTGTTGGGAAGAAGAAAGCCAAAGACAGTGAGTGCTGACTTCTTCTGTGGACGTGGGGATGAAATAATGTGGTGCACTGGATCGTTTTCCCATTTCTCTGTTGTTTCCCTCTCAGAGTGTGAATACCAAAACCCGATTTACAACAGGAGCACAGACCACCTCGACCAGTTGTAGAGAGCAAAGGTCAAAGTTCAAGCAGCTGTTGACATCATTTTAGTATCAGTGTCTTTTCACAGTGTTATTGATTATTCAATTTTACATACTACTGTAAACTTGATACGTCTTTTGATGTTTGTTTTTTGTTTAATTGCACTGTACGTCACTGTCTGTACATCTATTGAGACAATAAGTGATAGTTGTTTATTAAAGTTCATCAAATAAATTTCTTCACATGCAAATCAGTGGCATTCTTATGGTGTTTAACAATCTGAAATTGCTTCTATCTAAATAATGTTGTCATTTGAATTATTTCTCTGAGTTTAGAGTTTCTGAGTCATGTATTTTTTTTAATTATGAGAGAAACCCCATACATATATTTGTGGGGGGAAATGCAAACTTCAGAAATGCCACGGAAGATATATGAATTTAACACAGGACTCCCACGCTGTGAACACCACAATGCTACTTACAGCTGATGAGTTTCCTGGAAGTCCTGCCAGTTAAGTTAAATGAGAACCAGCTGGTCTGCTTGTCACCTTGAGTCTTAGAAACCAAAGATGAAAACCTACAGTACAGACTTTGCTTTGGTGATATTTGTGTGTTTATCTCTGCTGAAATGTGAAGCCAATTCTGCTTCAAAACAATTTCAAGCAACAGTTTATAGCCCTATGAACACAATTTGCCATGATGGGTTCATGTCCGTCTACATACCAAAGGTGCAGTTTGCAGCTCTTCCTTTCAGCATTTTTGTTCAAGGTAAGTCAGTCAGAGTTAATATAAGTGATTGATAATCATGAAGGTCCATAGCTTTGAAGCGGTTGTGTCAGCTCTGCTCTTTTTGTGTCCACATTTGCACACAGATGAATATGGCAAATATTACCAAGCCATTGCTATTGCAAAACAATGCCACTACTTTTTTGAAGAAAGTGACACCGTTGTTGTCTTAACGGTTGCTTCCCATGGATGTTTTGTGAGAAGACAAGTAAGCTGAAAAATTTCTTTGGTTTTTTTAATGTTAATGCTGGTATTTATAATTCTAATCTTTTTCATTTTCTGATACTATTTTATCATGTTGTTCATTAGAAATATGTCACAAGTTTGAATGTCACCATTGTGGCACCTGCAAACAGGGGCAGCACTGAAATTGTCAAGTCAATATCCCTCATCTGTGCAAGGAAAATTAAAGGTATAATTCCATATGTACAGACAAATGTACAGACAAACGTAATGTGCTTTGGGATTTTGTTTATAATTATTTCTCATTGTATTTTCTACAGAGGCAAACCAAAAGGATTATTTGCCACTGTCTGGACAGCTTTTCTGCAGCAATGATGGATTTAACATTACTATCCTCCGGAATGCCACAGTCCCACCTCTGAGCCTGGATGCAGTTTGGATCCCATCAAGTCAAAGCCACAACTGTAAACCTAAAACAAGATCTAGTGATGCTGTCACTTTCAGTTTTCCATTCACTAGTTGTGGCACTAAGTCCATGGTAAATGGAAATCAGTTTTAGACCTTTCAGGTTGTATTTTTGTGACTAAATTGAAGAGGCTTGGTTTTTCTTGCAGATTGCAGATGGCAAAATAACCTACTGGGTCAATATTGAGGTGAAACCACAAAAAGGTTCTATAATTTTTCACCCTTCTTTCCAGTAAGATATAAAATGTTCCCCTTGTCTTGCTTTTTCAGGAAACTAAATTGCTATTTCAATTGCACCTTTCCCAGTTTCTCCCTTTTCTTTTTTCAGTCTTGCAGTGCAGTGTAGTTTTGCACTGGCCCAACTGACTCAAGTGGGCATCAAGGTTCAGAGAGAAGCGGAGCATCCATCAACACTGAAGGGCAAAGGAGTGCTAAGGACTGAAATGAGGTTTGCCAAAGGTAAAGGTTTTTCATCAATCCAAATATTGATGTTAATTTCAGAGACTATACACAGATTAAACTCTGTATGCATGTTAGTATTGAGCAAAACAAAAAAAAATCTCAAGCCATTTTTGATTTTAACATTTGATGCATGAAAATGACCACTGTTTTAAACTCATTGGACACACTCTTGCTGCTAACTCTGTAATATTTTTTATGTTCAGATTCTTCTTACAGGTCTTTCTATTCCTCTCATAACCCTCCAACATTGACTGAGCTTGGCCAGCCTGTGTATGTGGAAGTATTTGTTCTCAAACATGAGAACAAAGACTTGGTGCTACTGCTGGAGGACTGCTGGGCCACACCGTCTCGGGATCCACATGACCAACAAAGATGGAACCTGCTTGTTAAAGGGTGAATACATTAACTGGCAAGTTGCAGAAGATATTATGACATTTCTTCATACGAGGAAAAAATTGTTAAATAAAACTCATCTTTGCATCCAAACCAGGTGTCCTTTTACTGGTGACAGCCACAGAACAGTTGTGTTGCCAGTTGTCTCCAGTAAAGAGCTGAAATATCCCTCTCTTCACAAACGATTTGTCGTAAAACTTTTCTCATTTCTGAAGCCACAGACATCTGAAAACCTGGTATGTAAGAGAAATATAAAGAGAGAAACAACAGCATTATTTGTTTTGCCTTGGTGTTTTGTTTTTAAAAGATGCTGTCCTACAGGTTTATTTCCACTGTGACATAGAGATCTGTAAAGGACCAGGCTGCTTAAATTCCTGCCACAATGGTAAGAGGAGCTGCAGCATATTTCTTGTTGTCTAATGAATCATGATTAATTACATGCTTGCATGTCACACTGTGAATAACAGTCAGTTTTTCCATGTGATCCAGGAAGGCGTAACTTAAGAAGAATAATACCAGGGACTGGGCAAAGGATTCTTGACCGTGAAGTATCTGGTGGACCTCTTCTGTATCTGCTGTAGATAACCAGAAAAAGGAGTCCTGTTTAAAAACACCAAGACTGGAAACTATTCTGATTTGTAATTAAACTAAAGCACTTATGTTAATAGCCTTGGTGTTTAAAAATAATTTTCAACTCTTTAATCACTTTACTAGCTCTTATTTTGGGTGGTTTGCAAATTTGTGTTGATATACATCTGCAGATAGGTGTGATGTACTGTATGTATTAGTCTCTGAATAAATGCATAAGATAGGTAGGTTACTTTAAGTTTGCCAGGCTTGAGGTGAAGACCAAAAAAGACACAATACAATTAATTTGCAAGTTACGTTGGGTTCTGGGTACATTTCATTTTTTAATAAATCTTAGATTGGTTCTAAACCTTGCTTGCACAGAAGGAAAACTTTGACTTGATTGAATGGACATGAACAAAGTGACGTGTTTTTCTGTTACTTGTATGATTATTTGATGTCGGGCTATGCTTTTGTAAATAAAGTTTAATTTAAAAATTGCAGGCAGGCATTGTATCATGTGCCCACAAACTGACCAATAGAAACGCAGAACGGGTGAGTTTACGGAAGTTTTTGAGCGAGTGTGTCGTCTTTGAAACGAGTGGAATGGATGTGAAAGAAATAGCTATTTTGTAAAACTAAACCCGTTTGCAGGGCACAGACACTAACTAAGCCGTGTTCTGTTTTACATTATTATTAATATTCTGCTGCTATCTCTCGGTAAGGCAGTCTAGAGTTGTAAGCTATGTCCAAATCAAGGAGATGGGACCCAAAAGACAGCGAGTCAAAACTTCTGCCAATCTATCAGCACAAAACCAAACTGATTCAGGCCGTCAGCGACAGCGCTTTTCTGATTGTTACTGGTGAGACTGGCAGCGGGAAAACCACGCAACTTCCACAGTACCTGCATCAAGCTGGTAAGATGGCTTTCTGTGGTCCATCCCTGCAAGTTAATAGTAATGTTAGTACTAAACACACAAGTTTAAATTACACACAGTGCCGGGCGTTTATGACTGTCTAAATAAAATACAATGCGACTTTGTTGGTCTAATATAGCAGCCCTAAATTATATCAATTAGCCATCTCACGTTAGGATACAAATGCGACCTTAAGTTTAAAAAAATGAATTATTTCTTCTTCCTACTCTTGTAGGGTTTTGTAAAGATGGAAAAATTGGCGTCACCCAGCCCCGTCGAGTAGCTGCCATCACAGTAGCCCAGAGGGTAGCCCATGAGATGCAGTGCACTCTGGGCAGGGACGTTGGATACCAAGTTCGCTTCGATGACTGCACATCAGAGGTAAGAGACAAAAGATAACTTATCCCCTGCAGAAAACACCATGTATTTTCTGTAATAACTTGAAGCTGTGGTTGTGTTTGAGCCAGGACACTGTGGTGAAGTACATGACAGATGGCTGTTTGCTCAGAGAGATCCTTGCAGACCCTGGACTTTCTCAGTACAGTGTTATAATCTTGGATGAAGTCCATGAACGCAGCCTCAACACAGTGAGTCAATATAGTTGCTCTGTTATTAACAGTTATAGCTTCTGCACTGTGCTGTTATATGCATACAGCTTGTCAGCATCCAAAAACAAAACAAATGTTTGATCAGAAAAGACAACAGAACAGACGCTTAAAGAATCTTTGATTATATCCCATTGTGCCACAGTTTAAAGGGGTAGAACTTACAGAAAAATCCCCTGGTGGAGTCAGTTGGAGGTGTGTTGCATCAGTTTCACAGTGAAATGACAGATGATGGTAGCAGAGAAAGGAACAGTTATACATTTTGGCAGCAAGAGAGGATTGGCTAACAGAGGTCAAGTCAGTCTATTTGGTTTAACTGAAAGAGTGACCGCCCTCAGTCAGCTGATTGAGCTGGAGCCAGGAAAGGAAAGTGAGGAAGAGAGAAAGAATATGCACAGAGTGACCTGATTTTGTTCTTCCTGACTGAGATGTCACTAAACTTCATTTAGGTCTTTATCCCCATCCTCCAGTGCACACATTGACTAAATGTTTGCATTTGTTGTAGGACATACTTCTGGGTTTACTGAAGAAAATCTTCTCCAACCCTGCTAAAGCCACAAAGGGCCGAGCTTTCCCTTTGAGAGTGGTGGTGATGTCCGCCACCTTGGAAACAAACAAGCTTTCATCCTTTCTCGGCAACTGTCCTGTCTTTGTTATTCCCGGGAGGACTTTTTCTGTAACTTGCACATTTGGCACGGCCATAGGACCCAAAGACACAGAAAGCACTGCTTATGTAAAAGAGGTACTGGGATTATGTTTTGACTCTGTGTTTAGTTTTCTTTATTGTTAAGCTTGTCAGTGGAAATGTCATTTACTTTAAGGTAGTTTCACATCTTTACAGTGATTACTGACTAAATATGTTGTTGGTGCTTGAGGCATTTTGTTGGTATTCATTAATTTTTTTAATTCTTTATTCCTCAGGTTGTGAAAATGGCCTTTGATGTGCATACCAGTGAAAGGGCTGGGGATATTCTGGTTTTTTTGACAGGTAAGTGTTATCAAGCTGTTTGATCAGACTGAATCTTAACCCTCACAAAATTTGCCACTTTTATTTCTTTATGTTTGACAGGTCAGTCAGAGATTGAGCATGCCTGTGATTTGCTGTTTGAAAAAGCTGAGTCTATAGACTATCGCTATGATGTACAGGACCAAACAGTGGAGGGCCTTCTCATTTTGCCCCTGTATGGATCCATGCCCACAGGTGAACGCATACATCAGCTGTTACATTTATTGTCAAGTAGATTTTCCAAATTAAAATTAGTGTCGACTGTGTGAAGCCATTGTGATGTCACCTTTTGTGTTCTCATCATAGATCAACAAAGACAGATCTTTCAGCCGCCACCTCCCAGAATAAGAAAGTGTGTTGTGGCTACTAACATTGCAGCAACATCTCTCACCATCAATGGCATAAAGTGAGGACTGTGGTCACTAGTTTACCATATGTAATCGTGAAATTGTGACATAATAGTAACATCTCTGAAACATTTCTCTGGCACCTCTGCAAAACCCATGATTCCCTTCCCCCCTCCCCATATAGGTACATTGTAGACAGTGGCTTTGTGAAGCAACTCAACCACAACTCAAGGGTGGGCATGGATATCTTGGAGGTGGTGCCTATTTCAAAGTAAGTCTTGGACAAAAAAACCAACTAATTTCAAACATACAAATAGTTTTCCTTAAAGGTGCGTTAACTAATACTTCACCCATTATTTAATAAATAAAGTGAAAACAGGACAACATGTGGTGTCTCTCAGCTATATGAGTCCACTGCATGACAGTCTGCTATCTACAGCCCTTCTGTTTTTATTCCAGCTTCTCCACCCTCTGTTTTGATGGTCGGTCTGGACATTAGCCCCGTCTGCCACCTAGTAAAGGTTCTAAGAAGCATTTTTTTGAACACAAGCTGTCATTTCCAGCAGTCAGCCATGGAGAAACTTTAGTCTGCTAAAAGTTCACAACAGTGGCTGCCAGACTGAAGAGGGTTTTTTAGTTTTTGTTGTTTGTTTGCACAAAGAGAGCTGGACAAAGAGAACAAAACCCGGGGTTAACATCAATTTGGATTCTTGCGAGTGAGAGGGTTAAAAGCAGCCAGAGCCCTCACATTTGATTCAGATCTGGCATTCTTCCTTCTGGTTGTGTACGCATTTGTTTCGGTAACATTAGCGTCTTAGCTCAGTCATGATTTTACCTCTTTGTTGAATTGATATTATTTTAATTTGGGAATAATTTGAGCTTGTGTAATGTTAGTGCTTTGTTAACCTTGTCTCGTCAACCTCGTCACTTGACATTGTGCTACTGCAACGCTGCTGTAGACTCGTTAGCTAATAGTAGCATTTTTTATTGCTAGGAAGCAAGATGTGTCAGTTTGTTTTGAGTCTCACTAGACACTGTGGTGGCTGAAAAAATTAGTTAATGCACCTTTAAGTAATACTCCTGCTTAAATTGCACCATGAAGAAAACTTGCTAACAGATTTGACTGGATTGTCTGTGATTAGAAGTGAGGCTCAGCAGAGAGCAGGCCGAGCTGGAAGAACCTCAGCTGGAAAATGCTTCCGAATCTATACTAAGGAATTCTGGGAGAAATGCATGCCTGAGTATACAGTTCCAGAGATCCAGAGAACAAGTCTGAGTGCAGTGATACTTACACTCAAGTGCCTGGGCATTCATGATGTCATTAGGTACACATTTATCCATTTTGTATCTGTTTGCTTTCTTAGAGTTCTTGATTTCTTCATGCTCCCTTTATCTTCCTTAGTAACGAGTTAATTTCTTTAAGGTTTCCATATCTGGATTCTCCAGAGGAGAGGTTTATTCTAGAAGCACTAAAGCAGCTCTATCAATTCGATGCTATAGACAGGTGAGTGGTTATATGTAGCTGTAGACCAAGTTTTTTGTTTTCCAAGTTCAGTAGTAGCAGGTTAAATATTTGTCACTGAAATGTAAATAGACCTCTTATCGAACTGATTTGTATATGTAGGAGGGGTAGAGTGACCCAGCTAGGGGAGATGATGGTGGAGTTCCCCCTGCACCCCGGTCTCACCAGAGCCGTGCTCAAAACCGCCTCGCTCGGCTGCCAGGACCTGCTGCTCCCTGTGGCTGCCATGTTGTCTGTGGAGAACATCTTCATCAGGCCAGGTCAGCAGTGTGTGATAGAAAATCATTTTTGTAATTAAACACTAGGAGAAAAATGTTACTCGGGTTAGACTTGATTTGTTTACTGATGTGTTGGTTTATTGATAAATTTAGTTCATGTTGTAGGGAACTGGCTTGTCCAGAGGAGCAGGTGAAGTGTGACAGTAAGATGAACTGACTAACCTCATGCTCCCCACAGGCCACCCTGACAAGCAGAAAGAGGCAGATAAGAAGCACAGAGCACTGGCTGCTAAAAGTGGTGGTATGAACGACTTTGCCACACTTTTGTGTGTGTTTCAGTCGTGCAAATCCAGGTACTGCACTTAACTGACTCCTGCTGCAAGATGAACCTGAATTATTTCTTCATTGTACAAATAATAGTGCTAGTCTGTCATTTGTATCCAGTATTTATGTGAAGACATTATCACAACTGTCCTAAGTGTGAGCCGTTCTCTTGTATTCTGTAGTGACAAACCCTCAGTGTGGTGCAAAGAGAATTGGATCCACTGGAGGGCGCTGAAGTCAGCGTTTAGTGTGGAGAGACAACTGTGTGAGATCCTCCACCGCCTCCAACAGGTACACCTGTACCTCAGGCACTGTAATTTTTGTGTATTCAGACTCTGTTAAATGCTTCATATTATTCTAAATAACACTGTAATGCACAATTCTGCTTATTTCTTATTGGATCATGTTCTGTTCCCCACATTAGTGTTGTACTTACCAATGTGCACATTACTGTGGTCACGTTTAATTCTGCCATTTATTAATATAGCATTTTGTAGCACTATGTGCTAGCTAATATGACTGTCGCCATTAATTTTTGTGGATACGCTCTCTTGCCTCACAGAAGAAAGATTTCCCCATAGAAACATTTGATGGCAACAAGAGTGAGCTCTTCAGACGATGCCTGTGCTCAGGATACTTCACCAATGTTGCCAGAAGGTATCATCAAGGTTCACGTAATATTATCTGTCCATCCATCATTCTCCTTTGGGATTTCTGTAATATCCCTGGGTACTGTGAGTTTTTTACTTTTATTTTTCATCTCATATAGGTCTGTTGGAAAGGTGTTTTGTACAATGGATGGCCATGGTTCCATGGTTCACATTCATCCATCATCATCGGTAAATATATTTTAAAATGTTGTTTCAAATATCTATGTATCATTGATGACGCATAACCTTTGAATACAGGCAAACTGCATTAAATAAGAAACTCCATGTTTCTTCTCTTTGTTTCCAAGCTGTTTGACCAGGAGGCAGAGCTGAATTGGGTCATTTTCCATGATGTGTTAGTGACTTCCCGGGTGTACATCAGGACCGTGTGTCCTATTCGCTATGAGTGGGTGAAGGATTTATTACCTAAGCTCCATGAAGTGGATGTCTTTGAATTAAGCAGTGTGGCAAGAGAAGAAGTCACTGACGAGGAGATGATAAAATGGGAGACCAGGGAAGCAGCCAAAAGACAACCAGGTTTTCATCAATAAATAATTGATGCTTATTTTGAAATTGTGATCTTGTGGAGCTTAACGGTTTGGTGCCTGCTATGACCATGCATGATAAGAGTTCACCTAAAGAATAGAGCAGATTAAAATGTCAGCTGGTGCTGGAAGATCAGTGTTTTATTGAGTGGGTAAGCTGTGGAATGTTTTATAACAAACTATGCCATTACTTTTTTCTTTTTTAAAAGAGGTTTCTACTGAGGATGTCATGAAGAAACTGGAGAAGAGAAACAACGAAGCCACTGTCAGTGATGCTCGTGCTCGCTACCTGCAGCGGAAGCAACTAAGACAGCAAAGTAAAGCTCTTTGACAAAGAGCACCTGCTTTTGGGGACAGAAATCACACTATGTGTCACTATTTTGCAAATGATACCTGAATAATAAACATTTATTACATTTATAACATTGCCTTTCTTCTTTAAATCTTCCACTTTACACATGATAATGTACCTGTAGGTGGTTTTGTATTTTTTGACATGGTTAACATCAAAGAAAATTGGTGCATTATTCTTAAGCAGTGAACAGACTGGAAAATACGATTGGTTTAATGAGCAGGTGTGAATTGAGTTTTAAAAATACATACATTTTAGGTAGTTTTAAACTGCCAATCTCTCAGACAACCTTTACCTCAGCTCTGTACAGTAAAGACGGGGTACAGGACAGCCCTTAATATACTTTGACACCGACTGCTCAGGTGCAGAGGACCCTCTCTGGCTTCCTACGTCACTTCCTTTTGTGTACGTCTGCGGGGCTGCTGTACTGTCTGACTGGGACAGAGGGTTTCCACGCTAGGCAGGCGACTAACTACATTAAACCCATAAATCTGTCCAGGATTTCGGAAACTATTTGTCGTCCTGTTCAACATAACTGTCCATCTAGCTGGAGATCGGGGGACTTTATTTTCTGGCTGGTTTGCAATACGCTTCACTGACCCACTGCAGCAGCAACAGAACAAGCACGCCGCTGCTGTTGTGGGAGAAGAAAACAAGCTCAGCGAGCAGTCAGCTAAGCTGTGTGATCATTGACAGAGTTCAGTACACACAGGCTTCAAGTAATAACTGGTTGGACCTTTGTGCAGCATACCTCTGAGCCTCTTCAAGAACCCACGATTGGGAATATTTTTGTCACTAAAGTCAAGGTAAGAAAAGCTGGGATGATGAAGAGAACTGGCGCAAGTAGCAAACCGACATGCTAACTAGCTGTTAGCCTGAAAGCTATTTTGGCTAGCTGCCTTGTTTGGTCGTAATGCGGTCATGGTCAGTGTCCTCGCTGCTGTCTGTGTCGCGCTACTTGGCCGAAACTGCCCGTGAGCTATGGTTAGAAATGTTGTAACAGCTTATTGTGAAGATACGGCAGAAAAGCTAACGACCTGGTTTGAACTTGGAAGGGAACTCTTGCTGACTTTGCCTCACTCAGTTAGCTAGCCAATACACTGAAAGGATGAGGCAGTGTTAATGTTACGGTAATGTTTACGTTAGGCAGCTTGAGGTCGTGCCGGGTAACGTTACAGTTTGTCGTTTTTTTCAGGCATTAAATAAACAGTTCTTTAACTGGACACACATTGTAGATATATGTATGTATATATTTAATATCTGTTAAACGTGTATTCAAGTGGTGCTGCATTTAGGTTGTGTATCTTAACGCTTTGTTAGATATTGCTGTACGTTTCTGGTTTGAAAAGAAAAACAGATTTGCAATGTAATTATGTCTAAGAGCAGATAAGTTACTTCAGATTCATGTCAAGTCGGTGTAATGTTACAGCTGTGAGCAGCCTGCGGATGCACCTCTGTTGGCCATAAAGTCTGAACTCGAGAGAAGCTTATCTGTTTTTAACTCTGTAAACAAAGCAGTTCAAACAGTCGGTGTTCCGGTGACTGTCTGCACTGTAATATTCAACCTCATCTCTTTACCGGAAATGCTGTGAAATTCTAGTGAGCTAGTGAGCCGGTTATCTAACATAAGCTGTTGATTCAGGGCTGACCCTGGATCACCAAGGCCTTTCCACAAACACCCAGCAAAAGCTCTGGTAGGTTATTACATTTGACAGTATAGAGCTTTGTAGCCATTTTTTAAATAGTTCAATCAGTGGCACTGATCCCATGATTATTTGATTGTTCCCAGGCATCACTGGAGAACCAGCATATTTAGAAATGACATGACAGTGATGCACCAGTAGATGCCAGGGAGGGAGGAGACGGTGTAAGTGCTTGTAGTTTTAATGTCTAGCTTGTGTCACTGTGCTGGCCCCTGTTTGGATGTTGCTGTCATGTCTCAGATGGTCAGATGTGAGGTGAAGTGCAAGTGTGCAGGTTTCAGCAGTTTTCTTTTTTGTACTCTTGCATTTCAAGGCAACAGAGAGCCTCAGAAGGCAAGGTATTTATCCAAGCACAGTGCTGTGGTGACAGCATTCAGATAGGCATCAAGAGCAATACACAGAAAGCTTCCTTTGTTATGAGAAATCAGTTTCACTTTACATCTTCACCACCTCCCTGGCCATATAATCTTACTTCCTTTAGGGCCCTGTGCAGGTTTTGTTTTTAGTGTTCCTCTAAAGCCAGAAAGGCAAGTAAGCATAAGAAATGTTACCCAAGGCTATGTCTTTACTCAACGTGAGAAACTAAATTGTAAATCACACCATGACAAGTTAGCTCAGGTTTTTAAATTTTAACAAGGAGAAACAGTGCACTTATATTCCACTGACATTCTCAAATTTTATGATCTTTTTTCTGAAATGGGTGTTTTTTTTTTTGTTATATCACATGAATGAATGTCGATGGTTTGTGTGTGTTTTAATGACGATGAAGTTACACCAGGCTGCAGTGTTTTTGTTTTCATGAACAATCTGATGGCTGTTTTGTGTACTAAAATAACAGTTTCTGTTTCTTTTCTCTTGGTAATATATAGGGTTTTTTAAAAAATCTGAGCCACTGTCAGGCACGTGACCAATTGGAAAAAGTTTGCACAATTTTACCAGCTTGTCTGCAGCCCCCTCCCACCCCAGACAGTCTTCTGCCCCAGCATGAATGAAGTCAGTGTTGTGAGAGAGGGATGGCTCCACAAGAGAGGTAAGGAGGCCCCTTGTGTTTGCCCTCCATCAGCTGAGTCTACATTTGCTTCATGGTTCATATCAAAATGTATATTTTAACTATTAAATACACTCCCTTTAGGCTTGTAAGGTAGCTGTCAAGTTTATAGTTTCTTTGTTGATGGAGAACAGCTCTGCTCAGCTTAATTCTCTCTGCTTACAATGTATTCTCATTGTAACAGCATTGTCTGCTTTCACAGTACAGGCCTTAATGGTCAGTCCAATTTTTTTTTGGTCATAAACAGTATTTTATGTTAATGGTTCACATTCATGTTTGTGTGTGTGTGTGCATACTAGAATAACAAGAACATCACTTATGCATTGGGCAAATTGCAAAATTTACTCAAACACAGCTCAGTTACGACCAAGCGGCAATCTCCGAGGCTGAGAACTGAGGGCAACGCCAAATGTAAAAGCCTGCAGTTCTTGAGGCCTGCTCCAAATGGGAGTCAATCCCCATAGACTCCTATGTTAAAATGCACAACTTTTCATCAGAAATAAACATGTTTACAGCCTGGTACAAAACACGTTTTTGGTCTCTATAGCTAATTTCTCCTTCCATGACAACTATATTGAGGTGGGGGTGAATTTTTGTGTAACTCACCCTTTGCGTTCCACTCATGCGGCACCTCTTTGCCCATATTTGGATTATCTATAGCAGGTGGAATGTAGCACTACCAATATGGCGGCAATCAGAATTGAGTTTCAGTACTCTTCAGAAAACCATTGGGTGATGTCACGGTGGGTTTGTCCATCTTTTATATACAGTCAGTAAATTCGACATGTTCCTTCCAGTTTGGCTTGATCAGAAGCTTCTCCATAAATAAAACACTGAATAGTGACAACGGGCAATATGTACATGTGCATTAGAATAAGATGTTAAATAAAAGGTGTGTGAATTTTGATCTTATCATCTAGTCATGGATGTGTGACGTGCAGTCAAATATGAATCGGTCTTTGACCACACATGCAAGTGGCCTAGATCTGATTTAAAAAAAAAAAAAAAATCAGATTTGGTTTGTTCAAGGAGCTATGAAAAGATCAGATCTGAGTTACTTGGAGGGTGGAAAAATTTTAGTAGGTAGTATGAAACACAGTAGTATATTTAGCCACACACACAAAAGCAGTTATTGTCAAACAAAACTCAGTTGACTCAGAAATCTTTACTTGTTTATTTTTAGGTGAATACATTAAAACATGGCGGCCTCGTTACTTCATCTTAAAGAGTGATGGCTCCTTCATTGGCTACAAAGAGAAGCCTGAGGTGTCCAGTGACCACAGCCTGCCACCACTCAACAACTTTTCTGTCGCAGGTCAGTTTTTCCCTCCAGGCAAAAACAAGTGCCACATTAATGTCTAATAAGTCCTTTAAAGTTTAGTTCATTCTGTCAGTTCTTCAGTCTTAGCTGATGTTTCTGCTCTGTAGAATGTCAGCTGATGAAGACAGAGCGCCCCAGGCCGAACACATTTGTCATTCGTTGCCTGCAGTGGACCTCAGTTATTGAGCGCACATTTCACGTTGACACCAATGAGGAGAGGTAAAACACAATCATCAAGGATTTTGTTTTCTGTTGTATTTGTTTCCCTGTGGTGGATGTAGACTAAGTGAAAATATAAGGGTGCAGCCTGTAGTGGTCTACAGTCTGCAGTAGACTGTTGTGAGCTCACAGTTTAATTGTTCTCATTGCACAGTAGTGAATTGAGGTAACAGCTTTATTGCCTGATTGGTTCTTTACTGTTTAAAATTAGGTTTTGCAGACAAAGTTAGAGGCAACCAAAAGGTTGTCTTGTTATTGTGACTACCACGTTACTGCTTTAAAGTTGATCCACTTCAGAAAGCATTCTGGGGGCTTACTGTGAATCAGTGTGGACATAGACTCAGTCTCTCACTGAAATGTTGATGGTGTGCTGGGAGAAAAATGTTTGACAATTAGCTGTACATGTGCTAAACCCAAATTATTACCAGCTAAAATTATGAAAGTAGGAAAGACCATCATGCTCCAAATAGAATTCAGTGCAAGATAAGGCCTAATTATTCACCTCTTGAGTTTTGTTTAATCACCTCTGCCAAGTACCAAATCCCAGCATCTACCAGCTGAATAGTACACAGATTATCTTCTGCCTTCTAAACTTAGCATGCTGGCAGCAGTTTTTCCTTTAAGATATATTTATTTGACACAATATCTCAACCTGTCTGAACACAAAGAATTCAAAATTTGACAATCATTTGCTAGTAATTGCGGCGCAGTTTATCAAAGGTGTTCCCAGATTTGATAAGGGTAATGTATATCTATTTCTGGGTCAGGGAGGAATGGATGCGATCGATCCAGGCGGTGGCAAATAGCCTGAAGAGTCAGCAGCAGGATGAAGAGCCCATGGAGATCAAATTTGGCTCTCCGAGTGACAGCAGTGGCACAGAGGAGATGGAGATTGCAGTGTCCAAATCCCACACAAAAGTGGTCAGTATTTGCACAAGCAGTTCCTGGCAGCTGTGTTTGTCTGGCTGAGGTCATCTTTATTGAGCAAGTAGTTAAGTTTTTTTCTCAATTATTGACATGTTGCATAAGAACACAGGTTTAAGTCCCCTTTAAACTCACAAGTTCATGGTGTCTGTGAAACGTTGGATGTAATCTTACTTTGCTGAGAGTGTTATAGCAGATGTATGGTTTGTCCTGGCTGATCTGTGAACATTGTTTCTACAGACCATGAGTGATTTTGACTACCTGAAGCTATTGGGTAAAGGGACGTTCGGCAAAGTGATCCTAGTGAAGGAGAAGGCCACAGGGATGTACTATGCCATGAAAATCCTCCGCAAAGAAGTCATCATTGCTAAAGTTAGTGCTGATCACAAAATTTTAAAAGGGTTTTTGGACAGTCTGTGTTGGTATGCAGTCTTGCTTTCACTGCATGTAATGAACTGTGTGTGTTTTCATCTAGGATGAGGTGGCACACACAGTTACAGAAAGCAGAGTTCTCCAGAATACGCGACATCCCTTTCTAACGGCAAGTTACCAGTTGCTTCACTTTGCACTTCCCAAAATTAATGGGCCATTTAATCAGAATAATGTTGTCACACATTTTTATTTTCTTCCTCTACAGACACTAAAATATGCATTTCAAACACATGACCGACTATGCTTTGTGATGGAGTATGCAAATGGAGGAGAAGTAAGTTTTCCTGTTTCTAGACCTTTTGGAAGATGGTGAATTGTGTAGAAAGGGTGTTTAAAAAAGCCCATTGTGATGCAGCAATTTAAGGTTGTGAATCCAACTATTTTTGATTCTCTTGCAGCTCTTCTTTCACTTATCACGAGACAGAGTGTTCACAGAAGACAGAGCACGATTCTATGGTGCAGAAATAGTGTCAGCACTGGAGTACCTACACTCATGCAATGTAGTTTACAGGGATTTAAAGGTAAGATGACAGATTGTGTGACAAGCTGAGGATACAGCAAGGAATTTGATCAGTACAATGCTAACTTATTTCTTAGGTACAATGTTTAGTCCTACTCTCACATTTCAACCATCTACTGTAGCATGGGTGCTTTCCACCATATTCCATTTTTATGTCCTTGGAATTTTTCCCTGCACAGCTTGAGAATCTCATGTTAGACAAGGATGGCCACATAAAGATAACAGACTTTGGGCTATGTAAAGAAGGGATCACAGACGGCGCCACAATGAAAACCTTCTGTGGAACCCCGGAGTACCTGGCACCAGAGGTAACTCCGCAGTCGCTGTGGACTCTGACATCATTATGTTCTGGATGAGCATGAGATAGAAATAGGTCTCTTCCTAAAAATGAGAGAATAGTTCATGAACGCGCACAACTCCTGCTGCCAGTGTTACATTGAAAGCAACGGCGTTAATTTCAATTTCTCCTCCATAAATAGGCAAACATCATATATATACCAATTTAAAAGAGATGTGTAACTTGTAACTCGTCTTGTGAATTACAGGAAAGATCCTTATCTTGAGTTAGCAAGAGGATAAAAGGTTCAAGATTTGGTGGTTGCTGCTAAATTTTTGCCAGTTATTTGAGATTGAAAAATTGGACTGTAACATAAAAAAAATTATTGATTTTCTTGACTGACATTCCTGTTTTAATTCTCTCTCAACTCTTTATTTCTTATCAGGTGTTGGAGGACAATGACTACGGACGAGCGGTGGACTGGTGGGGACTGGGTGTGGTCATGTATGAGATGATGTGTGGTCGGTTGCCCTTCTACAACCAGGACCACGAGCGTCTGTTTGAGCTTATCCTCATGGAGGAGATCCGCTTCCCCAAGAATCTGGCTCCTGAGGCCAAGGCCCTGCTGGCCGGCCTTCTCAAAAAGGACCCCAAACAGAGGTAAGTGGTGTGCAGCTGACGTGCAGTATTTGCACCATACTCCTTGTAATATCAGTTGTCGCCATCATTAATAAGCCACACCAGTGTTAATTCTGGTTTTACTCCTTGCAGCATCCAACTTCTCTTTAGTTGTAACTTTCTCAAATGCGGTCTCTGTTTATGATCAAAAGCTGCTGTGGGTACCTTCTCTGCCATAGCTCGGTAGCTTTAGCTATAAAAAATATAGTGGTAACACGTCTGCCCGCCTGGCGTGGTGGGAGACTCTTGGCTTGCACATTAAATGCAAATGCAGAGCGCATGTTGCATTTTTGCTGCCACAGATGACAGTTTGTTTCTTTATGTTGTCAGTGCATTTAATTTATACAGATTTACTGCAATGCGAGTGTTTTGTGGGATTGTCCTTAGAGCACAATGGATTGTGATAATTTTAGCAACATACAACTCAAGCAAAATGTGAGATTAGAAGTGTAGCAGTATTTTAACATCAAAATAAACAGCTCGCTATTCATATGTGGTGAATACTATTTTTGTACTGTTTCACTGTGCACACATGGCTGAATGTCTGCCTCCTTAAGATGTAGCAGTAGATCCTGAGGAAAAAAACATTTCCTTCATGGGATTTTACACCTCGACTTTTGCACTTGATTGGTTTTCTGTATCTTCCACTGTGCCTGGGAACATTGTTTTCAGCTAGAAAATAAGTAACCACATTATTTAATCCTGTGTTCCTTCTTGATTAGTTTTGGTACAGGATAGTGGTTATAAACAAGCTTATAATTGATTGTTGTTTTGCTCAAGCCCCAGTGTTTCTGGTAACAGTCGAACAACTGCTAATATTAGCACACTGAGCTCTGGCTGCATGCTTACTAACACAGCACCTCTATGTAGTAAGGAAATGAAGAATAAATTTGTCAAGGAATTGATCAAATAAAAACAGTGCTTGTTGTACATTTCTAATGACAGTGTGAAAAAAGAAAAACTAGCTGGTGAAATGTCATAATGATAGCAATTATGTTTTATTTACAGGCTTGGAGGCGGACCAGACGATGCCAAAGAAGTGATGAGTCACAAGTTCTTCACCTCCATCAACTGGCAGGATGTCACAGAAAAAAAGGTGAGATATTGGGGGAAAATGATGTGGCATTTAAAACAAGATGTTCTGATATAAAATAACTGATTTCATTCTTCTCTGTAGCTTATCCCACCATTCAAGCCGCAGGTAACATCAGAGACAGACACACGTTACTTCGATGATGAGTTCACAGCGCAAAGCATTACGATAACTCCTCCAGACAAGTGTAAGTGGATCTGTTCCTGTGCATCTGTTGTTTGTGCTCAGATCTGTGGTCTTTTGCATCTGGTTTCATCATTGAATGTTTTTTCCTCTTTCTCTTTGTGTACAGATGACAGTTTAGATGCAGAGGACTCAGATCAGCGTACGCATTTCCCTCAGTTCTCCTACTCTGCCAGCATACGCGAATGATCACTCAGGCTCTTGAACAAGCAGGCCGGCTAACGCACTATCACAAACCCACATACACACTTGCACTGCTGGGGAATTTGAATGACACAAACAAAAACAGGCACAAGACACATTTGCATTCAGTCTTTAACGTGCGCGCACACAGATATGTGCACATGCTGGCAAATCAGTCAAGACATGGACTATAGAGTATGAAATGAACACATGGGTCACGAATGACTGACCTCAGCAGGTTTGTGTGCATAGACTGGCAGCTTTGTCTCCATATGTCCCCTCAGGGTTGGCTTTATAGGCTTCCCTGCAAGACCTCTGCTGCACTACACTGGGCATCACATCAAAGCCTTGACACTTTGAAAACCAGGTTATGCCAGCAAGTACCACCTCTTTACCAGCTGTATCCATGCTACACACACACACACACACACCAACCAACTCGTGCATAGACTGCATATATATATAGACACAAGCATACTTGATAGAATTTTAAAAAGCATAATCAAAATGAAAATAGAAAGGATTTGGGGAAGATAATTTTTTATCAATTTCACTAATAGTTAGTTTTAAATGTAAAGCCATATTTCAGCATTTTTTTTTTGTGATTGATTTCTTTAAAAAAAAACAAAAAACAAGTGCTCTTTCCGGAGCTTGCTGTTACAAATCAAGCGTGGGACTGTTCCTACAGCAGGGGGAGATGGGGGTGAGAAGTGGGGGTTGCCATTTCTGTATTTGCGCTTCATGTGTGTATATGAGTGGATGTGTGAATGTATAGTATGCGTGTGTGCATATGAGTGCAGGAGAATGTATGAACAACCATTCTGATTCTCAACCATCCATTTGTGTTTGTTTTATGCATGTTTTTAAAATCTCAGAACTATCGCTGGAATATCCATGAGAGCAGACACTACATGGCACACTTGATGGCCTTTTGGTTTTTGTTTTTAAAGGGAACAAGCGTGTAATTTATGGTTGCTTTGACCAGCTTAGCACTAAATTGACTCAGTCAGGTTTAGAAATTTGGATCTAGTGCATGGCTAAACTTTGTTTTAAGTGCAACATTAACTCAGTCATGCACCGGGCTCTTGAAACTTGATTCATGGTTCTACATTAAATCTTGGCAATATGTAGCATTGGTCTCCTATTTCGTAGCCTGACGTGCACCTCTCCAGAAATGTAACTGCACGTTGCGGTGACTCAGACAACAAGAACTGTGATTGGTTGCATCGCATTTCTTCTTTCATGTCTCTCAGTGGCCGGAGAAGCACAGATAATCCCCCTGGTTCTACCTCAGTCGGTTCAGTGGTGGTGCAGACCTAAGTTCAGTAAAAGTAACTGCTGTTCAACACCTCTTAGTTTTAATTCCAGTATGACCTGCTCAGTTTCAGTCGCCGTTGTTAGTAAGTGGTGAGGAAACGCAGCAGTGTCATAGAAACCCTATCACCTACTAGCGTTTTGGTGGTGTAATTGCAGGGTGACAGACACACCAGCGCACCACTATAAATGCTCACAACAGTGTGGGCCACGTACACAGCCTTCAGGTAAGGCTCTATGTAGATTTAATGCAGAAACAAAAATCAAGCTTTAGAGTCCATGTTACTGTGTCCAGACTGATTGAACAACCAACTAGTGCTCAGTTTTCATCAAAGCCAGTTCTGCTATGTGTTTCAGTAACAACAGAAGGAAAGAGGAGTATACAGACTAGACGCTTGACCACAATTTTTACCCCAACCCTTCTATAGAGACCAGTGTACATGAATACAGCCATCTGCTATTCTCACTCCAGTAATTCTCACTCCCTAGCCAAAAAGTTATGACCAACCTTTTGTTCATTTTCTATATTTGAATGTCATTGTAAGTTTTTAAGATATTTTTGAAATAAGCCTTTGAATATTCCCATAATTAAATAAGCACCCAATCCTTGTTACGTCTCTATAATGAAGCCAAGAACTGACTGGCTCGGTTGACGTTTAACACTTCAAATGATTCCACATTTGATGTTTAGTGTCTTTGGTTTGTGTGTTTTTTTGTTTGTTTGTTTGTTTTTAAAGACCGTGTTGAAGCATTTAAATGTATGTAGCTTTACGTCTGGAGCAACAGTGTGCAGGTTTACAGTCCAACTAAATGTTGCATGAGCTGGTCGAGCAACTTTCAATCTGCAGACAGGGGAAACTGATCAAAACATCAGCTGGTGTATTGTGTAGTCAGAATAAAAAGCTGCATTCTTTAGGTCATGATGGCACATGACTGAGTGAAGTTCTGGGCAGCATTTTATAATGTGCTCATGTTGACGCAAGCATTTTATATTCCATACTGCTGGAAACGATGTTGTTTGCGCATTGAGCTTCACTAAAGGAATATCATGACCTTTTTTGTTTGTCATTGTTTTTCTCCTTTTTGTCCATCTATTTCTCAAATTTTGGAAGACACATTGTCTTGTTTAAGTATACATTATATGAAATATATATTAAAACTTTTTAAACTGCTTTCTTTTTGATTTAAGTTCTTCATTTTAAGAGTTTCCATTAGACGACTGCTTATTTAGCTCCGATGGTGGATATCAGTAATTTGAGTGATTTTGCATTGTCAAATCTCTTAGGCAAATAACTGAGTTCAGTGTTTACAATCGTATTCATAATGACAGTTTGATTATTCTTTTTAAAAGAAGTATTTCTTTTACCTAAGCAGTTAATAAGAAACTAAAATTTGTCAGAGCGCATTAAAAGTTATCCTAAAAATTATTTTTATTTTCCAGACAATATTAAAGTAGAAGCTAGAAAACACACTTTTATATATTCTGCAGTGTTGAGAAATAGAGGTTGACATTTTTTCTACCGATCCCTGCTGAGCACTCACTCAGCAGTCATTTGTAAAAGTTTTGCTAAAACATCTATCAGCATTCACAAGGATACCTCTCATGTCACATGTTAATTTGTTTTTAAGTTTGAGTGAGTGGCAGAGGGTGACTGTGAGATGTCTGAATGAAAGCGGTGAGAAAGAAAAGCAGCAGGTTTTGACTGTCACCGTTCAGCAGCAGGTGGTCCCGGTTCCTGCAGATGATAATGCGATCAAATGGCTTTGATTTACAGTTCACAACTCCAGCACCTCTTCTCACTGGCTCAGGCACAGCCATCATACCCTAGCCTAGTGCCCTGCTTTGGAAACGTCAGGACTGGATATCAGAACCACTGCACTGATGGACTCCACTGTGGATTTGCCTTCATTGCTATCATGGCCATAAGGGGGTGCTGCTGAACTTTTTAAATATTGGTTGTGAAGCCATACGCTGAACCTCGCTGCTGGCCACGCTTTAAGCAGTGCTTCACATCAACAAGTCAATACCCCCGACCTCTCCTGTAGGCATACACAGGCACAACAAGTGCCTCCTCACTATTGTGTAAATAAATAAATAAAGCAAGCAAGCAAGCTTGATGGTGAATGCAGCATCAGAAGAAGCAGCCCTGCAGCTTTGTAGTATTTGATTTGCAGCTGTACTATGGTTACCTTGCTTCTCTATATCTGAATGTGATCACTAGTCACGAATGTCACACCTGTTGGTGTAATGATTTTTTTAATTTTAATTTTAAGTTTTTTTAATTTAATTTATTTTATTTTTTTTTTGCTTGTTGCTGTTAGTTGAAGCTCAGAGAGCAATGAAAAAAAGCAATCTTTAAAGGGAGGAGACTGTCCTAGTCGACAGTCTAGCCCCTCTTTGCAAGACTTTACAATGTAATGGGTGACACTTGCTACAGTATGGTAGCTTACAACATTTGCAACTAAAATGTGCCAGTAAAACTTTTTACTGAATAAAGCTGTGTGTCTTTTTTATGACCTAGTTTATGATGTTTTCCCACAGCAATCTGTAAAGCATACAGTATTGTAGTATCATTGATGTGGCCAGCATAATTTCCACAGTACATTTTCAAGGAATTGGAGTTTTTGAGACTGTGACAAATAACTTATGTTATTTTAGTTTTTTAAATCTTGGCCAAAAGATTACAACCAGAGTAATAAGATGTGCCTTGAAATGACATTTCATAAACTGTGTAGGGAGATAACATATTCCCAAAGTAGGCTATACTTACAGTTAAATAAACTGGCTATAGGAGGAATTCTAGAAACAGTATGTAATTATTATTCTGTCTCTATCTGTTGTGTTATCGGGGGTGAACAAAACAGTCGAACGTACCTAAAACTGAATGCTAGTTTGTGACTTATTGCAGGGATAATGGATTGTACAGACATATTGTGACGTCCAGCACATAAATGAGCAGGAAGTAGCCTGTAGTGTTTGTTTCAGATGCTACAGAGTTTACAGTAAAACTTTAATGTCTGGTAATTTCTTTAGATGATGTATGTCAAGTCATTTCACTCTGACATTTAGGGATGAAAGATTGACTTATGGTCGCTTAATGGAAAAAAGAAAGAAGAGTTTTATTGGCTTTGAGCAAAACGCGGTTTATTTTCCAAACGTCCACCGGAAGTCCCCGTCCTTACCTGCCTAGCTTGACACCGGTGTGGCCCACCTGTCTTTATTAGCGGCTGTCCGAGCAGAACAGCCGCTCTCCCCTGCTCCAAGCCTTTTCCGATAACCGTGGTTAAGTAGCTGCAGCGGCCAGGCACAGAAACTGTCTCCGGCTGTAAATCATGGCCAGGAAAGGTTTCTGCGACTCCAAGCCTCTGCTGGACTTACACAAGAAGGTAAGCGTTTCCTCAGTAGAACATTCTTAATCATAGTATATGAAGAAAAATGTAATGAAGTGCTGTGAACCTTTGGGGAGCAAGTTGTGCAGTGACGGGCTGTCGCCTAATTCTTCTGCCGTTACCTTCAATGTCCTCGTTGTTTATGTATTTTCTAAATTAAATAACAGTAAGGAATACTGTGCATTCTGGTGGGGAAAGTAACTTCAAACTTTGACCTCATCAATTACTATTCCCCAGGTAATGTACGCTTTTTTTTTCTTTAGTTCAGAGCAGTTAATGTTCAGTTTGCCTATTGGATCTCAGACCTGTCCCAAAATCTACATGCAGGTCTGCTCCATTGTTGTGGTGTCAGGAAAGTGATTGCTTTCACCTGCCATGATCCTTGGTTTCAAGGAGTCCCTGATCTGATAGCTGAACCTTGAGTCTTGATGGCTATATGTAAACCACTATTTGACCACTTTACTTTTTTGTTGTTGTCATGCAGTAATAAAAAAGGTTAGAATAACAACTTTCAGCATCAAGGATCATATTTAATCAGTATCTGTGCAAAGACTGTCTGCTGTCCACCCAGGTGGATGAGAGGCGAGCCCCTTTAAGAACTTGGGCTAATGCCTGTGGGCCTATAGATCGTTGGCAGCTGGTAGAAGTAGACGAGTCCAAGATGGCCCCCATCAAAATGGAACCAGAACGCAAATGGGTACGCCTTCAGTCCTGTTTGTCACTTTGACCCAACACATACTACAGTCTCTCTCTGATCTTGGCTCTTGTTTTAACCTCTTTCCCCTGATCACTGAAGTACCACAGTAGAAGGTATCATTTGTAATGTTGGTGATCAGGGAATGAGATATTGCATTTAGAGCCTCACCTATGAATATTTAGTAACTTTCTGCCATGATCCTAATAATCCCATATGCAAGTGCATGTGACACTCGTGTAAGGTGTTGCCTGTTTTGCAGGAAAGGAGGATATCCATGCAAACAAGTGAAGGCATCATCCTGGGGTTCCACGAAGACAGTCGGGCACACTCAGCTGGTAGTATAATCATTTTCCAAAGGTTATTGGACTTGTTTTCAAAGCAGAGTCTCAAATAAGTGCTTAGATAGTATGAGAGTACTTGATAGTTTAGTGGAAAACTATCTGCTTGTATGTTACATTGTCTTGTCCTACTTTTTGCTTTGTGTAGCAGATGGATGTGTGAAGGATCCTGTGCTTCTTTACACTCATGGACTGCAGGGTCTGCACAGCCTACAATCACTTATGCCCAGCTTGCTGCGCCACGAGGTAGAGATGGCACTGGAGAAACTGGACCTTATATGGGACCGGACATATGCCTGGGACATGTTCTTAGACATGATGGTGAGATCATGAACACAGGTCACTAAAATATTCATTCAGTGTGTTTCTCTCTTTATTTTTTGGAGGAGCATTATCTCTAAAATGCATTCTATGCCGATGTCATCACAATTGTACAAGAGTGGCAACTTGGAAGAGTGGAACAAACATAGGTTATCACAAGTAGCCTTTTAATTATTTAATGTGTGCCTCCTGTGTTCTGTTTTTTCACCCTGCAGAGAAGTCAAACGCGGTACTCTTTTCCCACCGCTGACCTGCTCCAGCATTTCACAGATGCCACTCGAGCTATCCTGGTAGACTGGCTCATTCAAGTTCATGTGAGTCTCACTGGAAATCAAAACAAAGCTTGACTAAATATTCAGTTAATTTAAGGTCGTATGCTGGCTGTTGTGCGCCGCTCATCTTCGTAACTAACTAGCTAAGTTAGATGAATCCCTGTTACCCCTATAATGAGGGTAAATTAAAGGAACATTTTTGATATTCTAGGAACTGGCTTCTTTTGTTCAAGTCTGTTCCCAACCAGTGTTTGACCTCTGTGATTCAGGTTGGGTTGTAGGTAAACATTGCAGAGAGTTGTTTTAGGATTTTCTTACTGAGACCTAGATGAGAAGATTGATGATACTCATGTTTGTACAGTGAATATGACGCTAACACAGGAAAAGGGAAAAGAGCTAGGCTAGCTCTATCAGTGGTAACAAAATCAGTAGGTCTACCTCTAAAGCTCACTAATTAACACGATTTGTTTACACATACTAAAACCAATGTGTAAAATTAAAACCTAATCGAGGTTTAAGTACTGTACTCTTTCTTAGCTAGGACATGACTTCCTAACCCAACTGGAAAAAATAAATTAAGCTAGCTGGCTTTAGCGTCACATGTTCCCCTCCATTCCCTCCCCCCACCCTGTTTGTTTCCCTACCAGGAGATGATGCATTTCCAGGAAGAGACCCTCTGTCTGGCCGTGCACCTCCTCAACCGCGCCATGCGTCATATCAAGGTGACCACTGCCAATCTGCAGCTCCTCGGCATGGTTTGCCTTTTCCTTGCTGCAAAGAAAGAAGAGTGTCTCCTCCCTGAGGTACGCTGGCTCAGCTCTCACCAGCTGTAAAGTAAATTAAATTTGCTTGATTGCACTTAGTGCCTCCTTTTAATTCATAGAAGAGAAAGATTTGCCAAATGTTTTTTTTATTTGTTGGCTTCTTCCAGGTGTCTGGACTCTGCTACTTGATGGACCACACATACACAAAGCATCAGCTGCTGCGAATGGAGCGCAAAGTCCTCTGTGGACTAAAGTTTGATTTGTCCTACTGCCCCCCTCTGCATTTCCTTCTCCTTTTTGCCTCCATTGCTCGCTGTAGTCCTAAGGTAGATCTACACGGTTGCCTAGTTTTATTTGTCCACTTTCTCTTTCTGCCATTTTATTCCTTTTAATACTTGTACTGAGGAGGCCTCAGTTTAAGTGTGGTCCCCCATTGTCGTCTGTGCCACCAGATGGTGTGGATGGCTCGTTATCTGCTGGAGCTGTCTCTTCTGGAGGGCCAGTGTGTGGTGTTTCTGCCTGCGCAGCTGGCAGGAGCAGCCCTCTCCTTGTCTCGCAAAGTCCTGCAGGAGCCCGTGACACCAGAGGGGGAAGCTGCCTGGTGTCTCGCATCCAGCATTCATGTGGGAAGGTGTGCATCTTGACTCTCTTTATCTAACTGTCATGTACCACATGCCATTTAGTGACACCTGTTCCACGATGGTCTTTAATGGCCTTAACCTTGACATTATCAGCACTGTAGTGAGTGTTTTATTAGTAAGCATCCATCCTCACTGAATGTGACATTTGTATGCTTTCTCCCAGTGAGACGCTCCTGCTGAGGATCATGCACATTTTGGCCAGTGCTGCAGCCAAGGCCCACAGCCAAGAAACGTGTGCTACTTTTATTAAATTCTCCTCCCCAGAAACTATGCAAGTCAGTAGGCACCCGGGTCTAAAGAATGCCTCTGCTCTGCTGGGCATATGCAAATGACATACCCGACTCACAGAAACTTCATTATGTGCCACAGCTTCAAGGTGGAGGGATTAAACCAGTAAAACCTGAGGACTCTGTCTGTGGTCAAGTTCTTATACTCTTTGCCAGGAATTGCCATGGAAATGGGTGAGGAAGAAATATGAAAGATTTGATGCCAAACATTGTTTGACAAAGAATTGCATGCACTTCAAATGCATTTGACGTAGCCAACCTAGTGGCACTGTTGTTTTATATTGTCTTGCAGCTGATTTAGAAAATATTTGAATTATACAGATGTCCTTGTCCTTTGTGGTGAGCTGTCTATCAACGTATTCAATTTATTTGAAAGTTTTAATGTAAAAATAAAGTGTCTGCTGCAAAGTATTGCATTTCAGCTGTTTATTTTGCACAGGTGTGTGAAACTTCTAAAAGTCCATTCTGCAGAATAAGTCCTGCAATAAACCCTCACTTTATGAAAGGGATCATATTCCACTGTTCAAACTGTTTCAGAGAGGAGTTGATTCAGTTTGAACAATATTGTAAGACCTGCATTAGTTTATGTACATAAATTGCCACCGACTAACTTGATAGTTTTTTTTTTTTCTTTCTTGGTAATAATTTTTAGCAAAAGCTTAATTGCACAATAGGTTCCTTGTTATAGGCTGTGTCTGCAGCTCTGTTACCATGGGCAGATTATGAGACAATGGGCCCCTCGGAGCACATCTAAGGCCCCTACCTGTCCTACTCATTTATGGGCAAGACCCACAGATTGAGCAGCCACTTGATTTGTGTCCATTTGTAGCCATGTTAATATTAACTCAGTTTTCATTTCTCTGTAGCCTTGTTTGCTTCTATTTTTACTTGCTTTTTCATCTTTTTGTAATTCAGAATATTTTCGTTGTATTACAGAATAGATTCTGGCTGGAACTAGTGCAGTATTTCCTGGTCCTTCCAAGATTAGCTTGGAAGAGCTCCCACAGTGCAGAACAGGTTAGTATGCAGCCATCTCTCAACTAGTAATACCATAAACACTTGTCTTCTCTGACCCTTGAAGGGTACTTATGTATGGGGTTTTGTGCTAATAAAAAAGTAGGGATCTAAGGGCCCCTTAAGGTGTATGATATCAAAGTCTTTATTAATTGTAACACTATGTTATGAAATATTGCCTGTCCTCTACTTTTGGTTCTTTATACTGTATATAGACCACACAAAGAGATGGGTGGATCTAGAAAATTTTGGATGGAGTGGCCAGGCTGGGGCACAGACTCAGAGAGGGGTGGCACATTTGAAATATACGTATGTAAAAAGGTAAATTAATCCCCTAGTTTTATGAAACAATACACCCTGCTTTTTTTAAAGAATGAGATTATTTATTTTGTGTAAAAATGAGATGCACAGTGCAAACTTTGGCTGTGTTCTTTATTTACTTCCGCCCAGGGACATCACTATTGCACAGTGTGGTGAATTACGCCAAATGCTCTACAGCAACAGATGGAGAAATGAATGCAAATATCATGCTGAATGCATGATGTAAAACTAATTTGACCATCAGATATTCTTATTTAAGGCAATAATTTGAGTGTTTTTCATGTTTCATTCATAAATACTGTTGAGTATTATATTTTGACTCGGACAGGGATGGCACAAGGGGTGAGCAGTCAGTTTTTGGGGATGGCTGGGGCCACCCTGGCTCCGCGTATGCAGAGACAAAGATCATTTTTTAAACACAAAAAGTCCAATTTGAAATATACTGTGCCCAGACATTTTCAAGATACACATAACATTCTTATGGTTGAAAACTTTGAAGCAATTAAACATTTGGGGTGGTGACCGTTTGTGTCCCTCTGCAGTAACAAAAAATCCATTAGTTTCTTTTGAGGCTGGTATGTTTTGGTCTTTACCTTCACTGAGATCATTGATTTCCTTTTGTCAGGTGTTTGTAATTACCCTATGCTTTCTTAGGTGAAAACAGTGACTTGCAGGTTACATCTTAAAGAAGAAATTCTTTATCTGAGCCATCTAAATAAGAGCTTGTAAATATTTCAAGAAGAGTGTCTTGCATGTTTTTGCTCTTTTTGGTCACCCTTTCCAAAGAGCAACATGTGAGTTGGCTTTCCTTAGCACTGTGGCGTTTTCATATATTTTCAAAGGCGCAAAACTTTCTTCAGTCTGTGGGTCTTGCTTCTGTGTATGCGTGAAGGTCGGGGGCCTTTAACATGTCTGTGCCCAAGGTCAATGTCTCTGAAAACCCGCCCATGCTAATACCAAGCGTTATTTTGTATCATGTGCTCTGTACACTCTGGCTCTGTCTGCTACTACCGCTGCGTCGCAGCTCTACGTGTAGTAATTCCTGATTGGCTGTCATAGTTGTTTCACGTGGCCTACCAATGGGCGCTCAGCTCGCAGAGAGAGAGAGAGAGAGAGAGAGAGAGAGAGAGAGAGAGCCCATATTAATCATGTCTGGTAGGTGGTCCAACAGGCAGCTATGGGCTCACTTTGGGTACGCTGACGGTTATTGCCTCTATGTTTAATTGTGTTACCAGCGCTCTGTTTTGTAACTGTTTTATTTTTCCCCACAACATCATATGACACAAGATGTCCATATTATGTTTTTCACTTTTTCAAGGTCAAGCTAACTAGAATTAGCCGCCGGTATTTCAAAACAAGAGCGTGAAAGTTGCCACCGGATAAACCTTTGGGTAAGTACTGATTATTAAATATGAATTAACACTAAGATGATAGCGTTGAATAGTACTGGAGTACTCCTTTGTTGTTTGTTTTGTATTTATCTTTCAATATCTTATATTGAAACGTTTCGTATTTTAGAGGTTTTATATTGAAATCAACCGGATATGTTGACTCTTATTTTGAGGAACTTGACAGACATTGACAACTCTCACCTCGTCTGCACCGTGGACTTGTTGCGCGTCATATTTGACAAAGAGAGGAAGCTGAATTATTCAGAGAACAATGCAGTGTGATACTGCTGGTTAGTCTAAACGTTGCTGTGTGTCCTAAACCTGGTCATAAGAGGGAAAACGACCTTTAATTGGAAATAACTGTTTTACACGTTGAGGTAAGTTTTCCATGGTTCATAGTTATCAGCGCTGATAAACCTATTGGTGTTGAAAAGACCAGATCTCTTTCTATTTCGGTGCGCACTCTTTTTTTTTCGTTGATGTGCTGTAGTTTAAACCCCTGTGATTTTACACGTTTTGTATGTGTTTACGACCGCAGTGAGAGGAAGTGTAGGCTATGCAAATAGAAGCAGAGTTACATAACACGGCATGAAAGGGAGTAGGAGGGGGGGGCTGCTGTTTCAGCTGAGAGGGAGCTGTGCTGCCTTCGTGGAAACGCTGCCTCGGGAAATGTCAAGCACGCGCTGAGGGTATGCAAATGAACAAAAGTTTAAGAAAAATTAATTCTAAATATGTTCAGAATAGATACAGTTGTCTAGAAAAAAGGGAGATGTGTTTATCCCAAAGTCATTTGTGGATTTGTAGCAGGCCTAAACTATCAAGTGCTGTATTGTTGATTTTTTTGCATTAACTCTTGTCCTTGTAGAGACATTTCCTACTCATCTTTGAGATAGCATACTACTAAAAATGGAAAGAACAGAATAGTAGGCTACTAGCCTATTTAAACCTTTGAGATTGGTCTAGCTGGTAATTTTCCCAGCTCATTCTGCCACCTCTGCACTGTGTCTATTTTTGGAGTTGTACTTTGACCATCATGGCACATATCTCCACGTGGTGGGCACTGGAAAACAATTTATAAAATAAACAGCCAAAATTCACCGACTGTATGACAATTTCTGTAACTGGATGTGTGATTGGACAAGTGCTGTTCCTAAGTACATCACAGCATGTCTTTTTTTTATTGGCATCCCCTCCTAATTCTTTATGATCACTGTTAGTACAATACGGCTCTAATAAAACCATGTGACACACATAAAACGTACCAATGGGTAGTAATAAGTTGCTTGCAAAGACAGCATATAGGGTTGTTTTTAGGGGAGGACAGTCGGTCTCGTGTGAGAGACCAAATAGGAATAATGTATAATCTTAGCCTTAACTTGTAAAGCTGTAACAATCCTGTAAAAACAAACATGTAATCCCACTACTGTGTCTCTGCCTGTTGAGATCAGATCAGAAATTGTGTCTATATGCTGGTGGTGTCTGTCGTAGAGAGCCACTCTACATATCATGTATTTTGTAATTAGGGTGCAGAATGCCAAAGGAACAGCCTTGCTCAAGCAAGCATAGTCCTTGTGCTTCATCCACCAAGAATGCTAAAGATAAGAGCAACAGTACAACTCTGCAAGAATCCCATGATACTAAGGACATGGATGACTCCAGTCGAAAGGGATCCCACTGCAGCTCAGAAAAAGACTCGGGCTACTCTGGTAGGTACATATGGCATGAATATAACCACAGAAAGACAGTTTTCAACGTTTTTTCTTTTCCCCATACACCCCAATATATCTGCACAAGCCAGCACCACTGTGGTCATTATAAAAGCTGGGATTAAGAGTTGGGTAGGACATGTTCTTGGATTTGAAATGAAACAATAGTAATAAGATCACTTCTTTCCTGTTAATCAGAGTAAATTTACATCCACATCAAATGAAGACTCCCCAGTTTCAGGGTATAAAGCTACAATACGTAATTTAAGGGCTGTGACACACCAAGCCAACAACAATCAGCCGTCGGCCACCATCGGGCTGTCGCTGGGCATCTGTTGGAGCTTGTTTTCCCAGTGAGTCCCACATTGTTGGCACTAGTCATACCCTGTCTGTGGCTTTTTGGCAAATTCAGCATGTTGAATCGGTGTCAGGCCTTGTCAGCAAGAGAGACCACTCTCATTGCCTGCTCAGCTTAGTGAATCAGTGCACGAGAAGAGAATGATTCAGGAAAGCCCCTTCAGCTTGTTGCTGTAGTATCCTTGATTTCACACATTTAATGCAGTTTCTCTTTGTTTTTCCACCTCTGTGACCACTTTTCTTCACCCAGAACCAAATGACTAATAAGGGCATAGAATGGCAGAGCCATTTACAACTTAACAGAAATGTTCTCAGAAGCAGCTACTGTATAAACAGCAGCTGTGTTGAACTACAGCTGCTGTGTTTCCACTCGTATTTCCACTGTCTAGCTCTTCACCTGCTGGTAAGGGGAGTCATTTCTCTCATGTACATGCAGAATGTAAGTGTTAGTTGGCCGTTAGCTGCAGTCTGTGCGGTGTGTTCAGGTGCCACTTTTACACCCTGACTGGCCCATACAAAGGCCACATGAGATGACACAATATTTGGCCTTTGTCACTGCTAGTTCTTTCATGTCGGCTTGGTCTCTCTGAAGCAGTGTCAACAATTAAGCCAAGTTTAGACTGTTTGGATTAGGTCAACAAGAGGTGTCATAGAAGACTGCTAGGAGTTGTCCTAAGGTAGCACAAGCATGACACTCTGACTCAATCCACTCTGCTTCACTCAGCACTCCCTCTCCCTGCTCTGCCCAGTACTTCAGATTTTTGTTATGAAATTACAGTAAATGAGAATGCAGCAAAACTTACTGATCAAGCAGAAATAATTAAGAATCTCTGATCGGTTAAAGAGGTCGATCCTGCTCAAAAAACTTTAGAAACTAATATCTCTTCACTGCTACCAGTGCTGTTCAATGAGTCTGGGTCACTGGAGGCTTCGACAGCACGTCTCCACATTAAGACACGTTTTGGAGCAGAAACAGTGTCAGTCCAGCTTGATGTGGCTGACTTTGCTAGTCAAAGGATATCTCACTACTTGATCACTGGCTGCTTTGGATACAGTATATGTTGGGGATCATTGTCCTAAAAAGGTCTGCAGCATTGTTCTCTGTTTGGATGTGAACATCCTCCTACTCCGTCAAATCAAAGCTGAGAGTCAGCACTTCACCCTCATAGCCACCATTTTATTTCAAATCCAAAGAGCCAAAATAATATGAACATGTGCGGAGAATAGCTGAAATAAAGTGGAAATATGCAACAATATAACCAACTTATGTCACAAAAGCTAAACTATCCTTTTGAGTTTGGCTTTAGTCTGTATCAGTCAGCAATTCTCAGTTGTCCCTTTGTCCTATCTACAGATGGCTCAGACTGGCAGCAGACAGATGTGGAGGAACAGCAGAGCAAAAGAAGCAAGTCCAGAGGGAGTGAGGGAACAGAAACCTCACAGCCAGGCCAAAATCAAGAACTTGGGCAAGGCAGTGCTGGGAACCCTACCCCAATGTCAGCAGGCCAAGAGCTCCAACCAATATACATCATCAAGAACAGGGTGCTGAAGCAGGTAAGACGTGGAGGTTAGAAATGCATCCTATTCCTCTGTTGATAAAGATTGTCTTCAATTGTATGTAGAAAAGTTAGAGAAGAGATGTTGCGCAGAGCTGCTGCACAACAGGAGCAGGTATAAGGGACTGACATGTAGAGATCTGAAGGGTGAAATGAGTGAAAGTCTTAATGATGATACAAAGTAATAAATACAGCAGCGTTGCAAAGTAAAGCCAGTGAGACACAAAATGTTAGAAGCTGCTTTTCCACTACAGGAACTTGCGAACCTGGAGCTTCCCATAACCTGAACCTGTAGTGTAAAAGTGGTCAGTTCTGCCTTTTTTTTCTCAGTTTTATCATATCAGTTTTATGGTTTGAGCCAAAGTTTTTGTAGAAATGTATTTGGGAATCGTAGACTAGATAATGAACTTCAATTGAAAATTGGGGGAGCTAATATAGAACGAGTATATGAAATAAAATTTCTAGGTGTCATAGTTGATGACAAACTCTCCTGGAAATCGCATATCAGATATGTTCAAAACAAAATAGCAAAAAATATATCGATATTGGCGAGGGTTAGATATATTTTGGACGAGAAAGCACTACGCATTTTGTATCCTTCATTGATTTTACCATACTTAGAGTATGATGTTGAAAACTGGGGAAATACATACAAAACCTCACTTCAACCATTGTATATATTACAAAAAAGAGCGATAAGAATTGTGCATAAGATGGGGTATAGGGATCACACCAATGGAGCTTTCATACAGTCTAAATTGTTAAAATTTTTTGATTTAGTGGGATATAAGACTGCTGTGTTTATGTATAAAGCCAGGAACAATTTATTACCTGGTGGAATTCAAAAACTATTTAATGAAAGGGAAGGGGGATACAATTTAAGGGGTCAGTTAAATTAAAAAATTAATGCTATACGTACAACCAAAAAAAGATTTTGTATTTCCATAAGTGGGGTAAAACTATGGAATAATTTAAGTGTAGACATAAAAAATAGTAATAGAATTGACGAGTTTAAACATAAATATAAAGGTATGTGTCAATCAAGATATATGCAAGAACAGGCTCAATGATTAATCAGATGG